GGCAATTTTTGTTTATTTAATACCCGTCTCTAAGGGCCCACTGAGAAAATTTGGGGGTTACGTCATCTGGGGCTGCTGTATTGGACACACTGGTGAAAACCCTCTCCTTCATTTGAGAAGCACTTGACCCCATTGCTTCAATAACATACTCATCAACGAGTTTAATGAGAGTATTGAACTAAAATGATTTTGTTAATACTTCACTTTATATTTTTTATAATAAGACATAATTATTAATATAAAATAATATACCTTGTCACTTCTCCATCCTGGCCAAACAATCTTGACGATGCTCTTCGTGCGATTCTCGAAGTCTTCATCTGCAGATTCTCCATCGGACATTGCTGCCATTTGCATTGTGAAGTCACAATCTCTCTTCATTTGTAGATCAATTGCTTCTTTGTTGTCTGTGTATGCAAGTAAACGGCGAGTATGATTCTAATAGTAGTTTTTTTGTATTAGTATTTTTAAAATTCTCAAGACTAAACTATATTATTTTGAAATTATTTATTTAGAGATTACACTTACATCTCTGGCACGTCCTGCCCTTCTCGAACGAGTGTTTGTTGCTTTTATTTCCTCTTCGGTTTTTCTTGCTTTTGAAACCCGGCTGGTGAAGTTTTTGTGCAGTCTTGCTCTCAAGTCTGCCTCTCTAAATCCCTCATGGGTAAACTTGCGCTTCAAGTTTTCAAGAAGTCGCACCACCAACTCCTTGTTTGGCGACTTGTAAAAGAAAACATTTGTATTCCATCTGGGCTTACTCTCATTTGCCAGGATATCAGCTTGATTTCTTGTTTTCAGCTTGGGATCCCACATGAGATTACGAATATGGGCCTGATAGAATATATGAGAAAATATATCGATAAAATTTTGCACATGTTGATACTCACATAAACATCATTAGAGGCCTTCTTGCTAAACTCAGACGGAGCGTTGAAGGCAGGCTGAGAAACATTAGCCATTGTATTGGTAGGGGAAACGAGGGGGGCCCTGCTTAAACTGTCAATAGCAGTGATTGTCTCAGTGCTGCTGGTGGCAAGAACACCAATTCTGCTATTCATGTTTAGCAATGTATCTTCAACAGTGCCGATTTGTTCTTGTACAATCGACATGTCAGCTGCCATGTTGGTTCCCATGGCTGTCATATTAGTTTTCAAAGTTGAAAGAATTTCCATCAATTGTTCGTTTGTAATCTCAACGGGACGAAGAGCAAGTTGACGTCTTTGAATAGCCATTGTCTACAGAATATAATAAAAGGTAAAAATGTAACTGTTAATTTTAGATTACATTGTTATTGATGCTATTATACAATTGAATTGAATTGAATTAAAAATAAATTATATCAAATTTACATACTTAAATTATTTGAAATAAAATGGGTTGATGTGTGTGTGTTTGAGTATGAGTGCAATAAGTAGCAAGAAAGCAGGAGAAAGAGTAAACAAATTGTATAAAACGTATAGTTTATATAGATATTCAGCATATCTTTGATATATAAGTCTCTATTAATACTTCTTGTAATCACTGAGATGCAAATCGGCTTTCATACTGCTTTAGAACCCAATTGATCAAACCAGTCTAGTCTTTTGTTTCAAACGCACTTTTTTTTTTTTTCTTTTTTTGTTGTTGTTCCTGTTTCTCTTTTTTTTTGCTCTTTATATTTGCTATTGGTCTTTTCTTTGTTTCTCTATCTCTGCAACTTCTATTATATTTGCGAACTATTTGTGTAAGACATGTTCTTTCTAAAAAGTCTTTTTTATAGAAAATAAAAGAATTTATTTATTTTGTTGCCATAGACACACTCTTTGTTGCTGTCTCCACCCATTTTTTTATTTATTTATTAGTCTTTTTTTTTAATCTGCTTTTTTAAAGTATTTTTTTTATATAACTAAAAAGAATTAGTTGTTTCTTTTGTCATAGACACTTGCCCTCTCTTTTCTTTTTACTTCTTTCTTTCTCTTTTACTTTCATACTTGCAAATGTTCCTGGTAAGGCGCTTTTTTTCTTTATTTTTTTATTAGTAATTTCTTCAAATATAGCTGAGTAATAACAAGTGTTTCTGCTACCATAGTCACTTACATATCGTTTCCTTCTGATGCATTCTCTTCACAATGGCCATCCGGATTAGCCAAGTTTAATAAATATATTTTATGTCATTATCTCATAAAAGTATTCTGATTTTTTCCTTTTGTTTTTATAAAATATATCACTAAAAATACTTTCTACAGCTAAACACGACCACCAACACGGTAATATTTTTATCTATTTATTTATTATATTTCTTTTTAATATTAATTAAACTGAATCCAATTTTTACTATAGATAAACAACCCTCTCCAAAACATGTCATGAATCAAAAGCTTCTACCTCATGCTGCTGTCATTGACATGGTAAGACTTTTTTGTTGTTTTACTACCCTTATATGTATCATTATATTACTTATACTGATTATTAATAAAAAACTACCAGATACTATATCTACAAATAAATCTGTTTGCTTTGTGTATTTAAATTAATAATTATATTGCCTAATTCACAAAAATTAATTTTTTCCAATCATTTTCATAGTCAAAGAAATTGTAATGTTGTAGCTTTACTTGTAATCTTTTATTGTTTGGTCTTTGTACTTGATAATTCTAATGTAAGTATTAATGATATATAAGAATTGAAATATTCAACACACACACACATCCATCACTAACGATTTATCTATTCTCAAAGAGTACTGCTCGTACCCCAAAAAAAACATATTGAGCAACTCATTTTTTTCAGGTATTTCTTTTTTGTAGAAAATTTTTCATCCCAAATGAAACAACACGACTGAGCAAGAAGTAGCTAGAGATATAGGACAGTATTATTAAATCTGAAACCTAGAAACATTCTATTCTTTGCAATAAAAATAAAAGTGTAAGCCATTACCAACCTAATAAGTAAGGGAAACTAAATAAATAAAGAACATATTACTGGTCCATAATTTTAAAGACGCCTTTTTTTGTTGTGAATGACCAAACTTCTTAACAATAAACTAGCTTAAAGGTCACCTTTACACTACTTTTAATCTTCATAATGTGTCTGTGCCTGACTTTTACAGTTATATATAAAGAATATCAAAATAGATACGCAGTTTTAAAAAACTTTCTTTTTCTATATCAAGTCAGATAAGTACATTTAAAGTGCTAACAAACCTTATCTACGGCACCCCCCACCCACAATTCTGCTAGTTGACTCTAGTCATTCCACTATCTGTGAAGGTCACTTCCAGCACAAGTAGAAAAAAAATCAACTAATTTAAATATGGAAATTACACTACACTATATCTCATATTTAAACTATCTTATTTTTTTAATTTCTCCAGTAGTGAGTTTATAACTACCAACATCACCATTGATTGTAGTATAACTGAGATCAATGATATCACAGCAGTGTTGTCTCAAACTGCAATTTACTTTTGCGACTTTTATGTTCTTCATGTCTGGTAGCAAAGTCTTGACAGCAAAGTGAAATCAGATGTATTGTACATATCAGAGCAGCTTAGAAATTATAAGCAAAAATTAAAAAATGATCTGAAAGATATTCCTGGAGAAAATTGACTACTTTACAGAGCATATTCAGAGTCAAGATCAATTTCTTCAGTATTTTAAACAAAGGGGGGTGGGAACAATGAAGTTGTTGAGAAGATAGAAAAGACTGTATGTACAGTCTAGCCATCTACAATATCTGACTAACAACTATATCGAATCATGACACAATCAGCTCAGGACAATATATATGAATTGTGTGTGTGTTAGAAGACTAGACCGTTTAGTTTTTATTTTGATGAACAATGTTGAATTTTTTTCAATGAAAAAGTGAAAAGAATTTACATTAACAATGGAAGAATGAGGCCAGTTGAGAACGTACTATCTCAACACTCTTATGCGGCCTCCCAGCTTCAAGAAGACATACTCCCTACTATAATTATCAGCCCATCTGGTGATATTAGAAACAGTATAGATAACTCTGATGAAGAGTAGAAGATCAAGTTGTTCACATTGGAAGATTTGTGGTATAGTGAGTTTGTAATCAATAACTTGATTCAACTATACTCTTGTCCAAGCTTTTTGACATGACAAATACCTTGCAAGCATACTTGTTTGTTGAAAAGATTTGCCAGTCTTAACTGTGTGTACTTTTTGCAACAAGAGCAATATTGCTTGAACTTGCAATTATCTAAGATATCAGTAGAAGTGGATAAGAATAGAAGTGATCAGAATCTGTCATATTTTTGGCAGCAATTTATGACAAGTGTATCATCACTTCATTATCAAAGAAAAGATATGAAAATAATAATGAATATACTAGGAGTTAACTTTAGGGATGTAGATTTGATGAACAGCATGTTAGGAGAAATACAAAAGCAGTTAGATCTTATCAAAAGTATGAATCTGTCATTCTTTAGAAACTTGAACACATAATGATAATAGAAAAACAATATTATTTATTAGAACATATTTTGAAAAGAAAAATGCTTAAAAATGATAAAAGAAAAAAATATATCTATCTATATCTTTAAAAAATAAAAAAAATTAGCAAGATCACATGATATACAAAATCTATCTTAAATCCAGTTTTTTTGTATATCACGTGATAAACGATTTGCTCTATATACTCTATTCTATCTCTAAAAATTTACATCTTACAAAAGTCACATGATATATAAATCCTTCTCTCTCTTTCTTTTTTTTGTTCCTAAAATTCTAACAGCTATAATAAAGAAAATAAAAAAAAACTACTCTCTTTGAATTAAATACATAAAATAGATATAAAATGAATGGATAAATAAATAAATTTATATATAATCAAGTGGGCAAATTATTTTTCAAGATCATAATATGTATCTAGAAATCTCTGATAATGAATATCAATATAATAAATAACAAAATTAAATAATAGAAAAGAATTTGCACGTCTCTTAAGAAAATTGCAACCTTAAATCCTTAGTATCTAAATCTAAATCCAAAATGCTTTCAATTGAAAAACGTTGCTCTGCATGCAAAATGACTGGTTATAAACGTAGCAACCATAGAAGCTGTCCCATGAACCCAAAGAATCGTATTCTTCTTATCCCTCAAAAGAGAACAAGCTTTGTTGTCTTCACTGAAGTGCAATATCCTGCAGAAAGCAGTAGATATAATAAAAATCTTATAATTGTTTCTATATATATTTAGTTACTAATATGAGAGTGAGAAGAGAATCTCCTGAAGATCAAGTAGTACTTCAAGAGGCCACAAGTCTTGTAATTCCTGAAACATTAATTGAGGAGGCTACTGTAGCAGAAGCTTAGGATATTATCTCTGAAATCGAATCTGAGAAAATTGAATCTGAGAAAATTGATACTGTAGACACTGATATTGAAGCTTCTGATAATTCCAAAGAATCTGATAATGACAAAGAAGAGATAGTTGTATCAGCTGCAATTGTTAGATTTTGCCCAACATGTCACAGAGAGAATCATTGTCATAATACAAACTGACTATGTTCTTTCAATTCCAGATATACTAGGAATGACTCCAGTAATCAACATTTGGCTACAGAGAATATTGCCTAACTTCCAGCTCTCTGTGAGCCAAAAGTTGATAATAAGAGAGAAATGAACATTGAATGCAGCTCATGCAGAGCTTTGATGTGGATGGACGAAAGAAATAGAAAATCATAATTGAGAAACCCAACCTTTAGCATGTGTTATGAAAATGGAACATCTGTTCTTCCTAGCCTTGTGCCAACCCCACCTGCAATTGCTGAACTTCTTAATAATAGAACTCAAGATAGAAAACAGTTCCTTTCCAAAATCAGAGGCTATAATGGCACATTGAGTTTTACATCATTGGGAGCAAACATTGATCACAGTGTAGCAAACAATGAAAGCAGAGCTTACAACTTCCAAATTCACGGAACAGTATGCTACAGAATAGGGTCAATCACTCCTGTAACAACTCAAGACATTGATCATCTCCAGTTTACACAAGTGTACATCTATGATGCTCAGTCTCAAGTTCAACATTGGCAGCATCAGACTTTATATTTGAGTAGAGAAGTGCTTGAAAAGTTGGAATTGGTTTTGGAGGAGACCAACCCTTTTATATCTTTGCTCAGATCCATAGAACAAGTTTCTTGCAATAATTAACATACTGTTGTGGTGGTTGAAGTTGAAGAAGTTTTTAAGAGGAAGAATTGAAGATTTGAAATTAGGAACAAAGATTCGTGAGAACTTGTGTAGATTTTGTTTATTGAGAAAGATTTTGAATCAAAGTTTGACGAGGTTCCTACACTGAACTACTACTGCTATTTATATTATTTTGGATCGGGAAAATTATATGACTGGGGTCAGGTAATCGATCCTATCTGAGCCTTAATCAGAGCAACGTGATCTTGGGATAATTAATGTATGATTAATTATATAAATGTGTGTAGTCCCAATGAAGTATTAACATCGAAAGTAAATGTGTTTATGAGTTATAATTATGCTTATAATAATCCACCGATGTATCCCATATTATGGTGATATCATCATATGAAATATAATCACTATCATGCATGCTAAACCTGTGTGTTAAATAATAAAGTAATCGGTAGACACCTTTGACTGGAATAGCTGAGGCCTTATATTATTTCCTTCAGACTTATTCTCAATTACAGCAGTAGTCAATACTCATTTACAACACATACTGCAGGTTTAACCTTGTGATTGATTGCAGAGGGACCTCAGAATCAGAGACGATACAACACACCAACCACTGATGAAGTAGCAGTTTTGATTATGAACAATGATACATGTACAACAAGAGATTTTGTTTTGCATACACATACAAATGACCTTCCGTCCATAAATGTGTATCACCATTCATATGATGCTCTTCACTATGTTCTGATGTTCTCCTATGGGGAAGATAGCTGGAATCTCAGCTCAATCTCTCTTTCTAGAAGACGCGTAACAGTAATACAATAGTATTCTAGCTGTCTCATGTATCGTTGCAATTCCCAACATCATCTCCATCTCTTTGACCATCTTTTTCAGCAATTTATTGTTGATATGTATGCAAAAATTGAACATAACAGACTGCACTACATAAACAGCAACCAAGACAGACTCAGAGTAGACCTTTACTCTGGAATACAAAGTGCAACTAGTTTAAATGACAATGATATTGCCAATATTAGAAAGAAGGTTATCCTTTATCTTCTTTCATTAGTAGCCCACAACATATGCACCAGTTATATCAAAACGATATGAGTATTGTCCATTATTTTGGTAAACTGGATCTATTTATTACTTTTACCTGCAATTCCACCTGGCCAGAGATTATTAGCTCTCTTTTGTCTGGACAAAAGACTAACGACTGACCAGAAATCTGTTCAAGAGTCTTTAACATGAAGTTTAAAGAGCTTATGAAGGATCTTATTAAGAAAAAGATTTTTGGAAAAGTACAGGCCTTCATATATGTCATTGAGTTTCAGAAGCGGGGACTTTCACAAGCCCATATTCTATTGATCTTTCATACTGACAGTAAGTCAATAACAATTGAAGACTATAACTTGATGATTTCTGCAGAAAGTTCTGATTCAGTAACCAAGCCACTTGCATATGCAACAGTAACAAAAAACATGATCCATAGTCTATGTGATGATAAATACAATGATAAAGTTTGCTGCATGAAAAATGGAAAATGTGAAAAAAAACTTCCCAAAAAAATTAACAATGAAACAATAGACAATGGAAATGGCTACCCATTATACTGAAGAAGAGACGAGGGAAGATGTGTAAGAAAGGGGAATCACATGATCGATAACACATAGGTTGTATACCATAACAAGTATCTGTGTGAAATGCAATGCCCACATTAATGTAGAAATTAGTACATCAGTTTTAGCTGTCAAATATCTCTACAAGTATATACAAAGAACATGATTGCACAATAGCCAACATCCAATCAGCAACAGCAACAGCCAGCACCACAAACAACAGTTTCAGCAAGAACAGCTAACAAATAAAATAAAGGATTTTCTTGATCCTATGTATGTCTCAGCTTCAGAGGCATTCTGGAGAATATTCTCTTTAAGCTACACCAAGAACACTCAACACATCAAAGAATGGCAATACATACCAAGAATACTCAGAATATCTAGAATGTGTATTTTTGGGATAACAACAATCTGGATGTCCTCTTAATGACAAATGTTGGCACAATATTGATGGCATGGTTCAAGTACAACAAGAAGCACATAGATGCTCGCAAACATCTCTACTACGATTTTCCTTCTCATTTCATTTGGAATGTAAAAGATAAGACTTGGAAACCAAGACAGAGATATTCACGAGAAATAATTAGGAAAGTGTACATTGTATCCCCAAGAGATTCAGTGCAATATTTCTTGCTGAACTTGCTACACAATGTATCACATGCCACAAGCTTTGAAAATCTGCATACTGTTGAAGGTGTACTTCGTTAGTCAAATCAGGCTGCATGTAGAGCTCTTGGCTTATTGATCAATAATTGTGAATGGGATGCTTGCATGGAAGAACCCCCTGCACATGAGTTACTGTCATCAATAAGACAATTATTTGCTGTTCTCTTGGTATTCTGTCATGTATCTGATTCTTACGCTCTCTGGATTACCCATCACTCCTCAATGATGAAATACTATCTCCGTGCAGCAAGAACAGAGCACAATGAGCCTTCTTTGAAACCAACTTAAGAAATGTATGATAGGTGCATATGGAGCATTGAGAATCATCTTTCCATAAATTCCATATCCATTTCTTCCTTTGATGGTTTCACACTTCTGCCCTTGCCAATTATATCAGAGCAGCCACATGCTTAAAGAAAACGCACATTAATAACAGAACAAGAAGACCTCTGTGCCAAGGCATCCACTTTACCAGATTCTGATCTTTTTCTGTTTAACAGTAATCAAAGAACAGTGTACAACACAATCTTAGATCCACTAAATGCAACTAAGATATCTTTCTGGTTTTTCTTTATTGATGGCCCTAGTGGTACTGGCAAGACGTTCATATTCAATGCATTACTGAGAAAGGTTAGACAGAAAGAAAAGTTTGCCCTTGCAGTAGCAACAAGTGGAATTTCTGAATGGTGGCTGCACAACACATTTGCTTTTCATGATCCCATTTGAGCATGATGTAAACTCTATGTGCAATTTAAGGGCAAATTCTCAAATTGCTCAGCTACTTAAAATGACTAAGTTAATTATTTGGGACGAAGCATCAATAATTAGCAAGAATATGTTTCATGATGTTAGCTAAACAATGCAAGATATTATGAAGTCTACAAATCTGCTACTTGAGCATGTATCATTTGGGGGAAAACTCTTTGTCTTTGAAGGAGACTTCTGTCAGGTTCTATCTACTGTTCCTCAAGCTTCCAAAGCTCAAACAGTAGAACAATACATTAGTAAATCACAAATGTGGAATCAGGTTAAATATCTAAAACTAACAACAAATATGTGCATTGCACAGGCAAGTAGTCCAGATGAAGAAACAGACCTTAGAGAATTTGCTGTCTATCTCTTGCACGTTGGAAGCAGATTAATTTCTACAGTTGTGGGGGGGACTATACAATTCCTGCTCACAATGAAATGCTTATCCATAGCTCTACTCACTATAGCTAAAAAAGTGGCAACATGTTATCACTTTGGTAGCATAACTGCCATTTTTTACATAATAAAAAGTGGCAGATATGAGTCTGTATAGCGCAATTAGAGGCACAGTTGCTATTTTTTTTTAAAAAGATTGAGGTTTGCCATGCCAAAATCCACTTGTTGCTTGCTTCTGGTGACATCCCAGCTGTGGCTGACACGGCGCACATTAGCTCACATGCCAGTTTGTTCGGTTGCCAAATCTGTGAAACAAAGGGAAAAGTCTCAGACAACATACAGCACAGAATGTACTTTGAAGATAGTTCCACTCCTTTGCAACCTTTGGAAGAATTCAAAACCGGCAATCCTGTAAGAATATAACAGTTTAATTAGATTTTTTCTTGTACTAAATAATTGCATATATAATATATAAAAAATATATACTAACCAAAAATTTTTAGTGAGCTGTCAGCCTTCTTCAGATCTTTCTTCTTCACACTAGATGAACTTCATTTAGTTGCAAGAGGAATCAGAAAGCACATTTACGACTTGATCACTGTGTCCCTTACTAAGGAGACAAAATTTTCTTATACCTGTCTGGATGATACCCTCTCTAGCACAGAATACCCATTTTTCGTACCAAGAACTACTGGTTTTATCCATTCAATTGGCGCCCATTTCCATCTAATTAGCATCCGTTTCCATCTAATTAGAACCCATTGACATCTGATTGGCTTCCATAGAAGTTGAATTTGCGTTCATTGCCAACTGAATTTGCTCCCATTGCCATCTGAATTTGCTCCCCCCCTTTTACTATTGGCGGAAGGGTACATGGCACTCAAATTTTTTATTCTTACGCCTTACAATTTTTTTATATAACTGTAGTATTTTTTTTTTGTAAACATCGTACTTTTTTTTTGTAAATGTTGTATTTTTTTTTGTAAACATCGAATTTTTTTTATATAACCGTAGTATTTTTTTTGTAAACGTCGTATTTTTTTGGCATAAAACATGGATATTTTTATTAGGCATAATTAGTTGATAGAGAAATAGAACACATAATAAGAAGTAAGATATAATGAAATACAAAGTAATAAAAAAAGAAAAGCATAAAGCAGTAAAACAAATAAAAAAAAGAGGGACATAAAGTGGTAAAAAAAATAAGAAAAAGAGGGACATAAAGTAGTAAAAAATAAAAATAAAATAAAAAAAGACATAGAGTGTAAAGAACTTAAATAGACATAAAAGACATACTTAAAGCTTTCGCTCTCTGTTCAAACAGCAAGGAAAGAATGAAATGGCATGGTTAATCCAACCCAAACAGTCCAAAAGGGTGACAGTCTTAGCTGATTCTGTAATCCTTAAGATGAGCCCGTCTGACTCTGTAATCTCTTCTCTGCAGACACCAAACTTGATCTTGGACCACATTTCCTCAATTGGATTCAGGAAAGGTGAATACACAGGAAGATATGCACACTTGTACCCACGGGAAGAAATAAAGTCTTTCACCTCATTGGCCTTATGGATAGGAGCATTATCCATGATGAGATAACGTCCTTGCATACCCTGGCTGTCCAGAACGTCCATTGTATGACTAAAAAAGTCGAGGTAGTGCTGGGTTCTGGTGCCAATTTGGCCATTCACCTCAACGTTGGTGTAGATGTCCAACTTTCTCTTCTTCTTGGTTACAACTGCAGTAGGTTTCTTTAACGAGAGGCTGACAATCCCTCTCTCGCACATTGCACCAAGGATGGTGATGGACACACCTCTCTGCATTGGGACAGTTGTCTTAGCCGGGGTGCCACTGACGGAACGGCCAAAAGTTCTCTTGATGTGCATGTTGAAGCCTGCTTCATCGATGAACACACAGTTTGAAAGATAGTTGAAATCCGCAAGTTGTTGCCACTTCAAAATGCGGTCTTGTCTCATCTCAATTGTGCTGACATCGTCTCTCTTCTCAGGAAGCTTCTCCAACTTCTTTATCGTCAGGGCACACTTCTTCACCAAGTGCTTCTGGATTGCTGATTTGGTAATCTGCAGCCCAGAGAACTCTTCCATGACAGCTATCCTTGCTTGCTCCAAGGTAGCATCTGATTTATTTTCAAAAAGCTTCAAAAAAAAAGCAGAGTGCGCCTGGAACAACTTTTGGTTGCCATGTTTTTGTTCTTTAGGCGCAGAAACCTCCTCAACCTCCATCGTCTCCAGCCCATTGGACTTATCAGTCTCCACTGTGGCAGCATCAAAATCGGCCCGGATCTTCTCTCTGGCCAGCCTGACATAGTTCTGGGCAGTCCGGACATTGATCCCCATTTCCCTGGCAGCAGCAGCAGCAGTCTGGTTTTCTGAGAAAACCAAGGAGAAGAGCTTGTTCACCTGGTTTTGGTTGTACTTTTGGTACGAACCTCGACCTATGCTTTCTGCAGTGGGAACAGAATCAGGATTAACATTCTTTGGCTTCTGTGCAACAATGGTTTTGGTGGTGGCCTCGTTGACTTCAGTTGGCAAAAAACATCTGAGACTTAAGAGGTTCGTGACTGCTGGGTTTCTGGCCAAGGTATGGGTCCATTCCATATTGGCATGGTTGACAAAGACATCTGTCACAGATTGGAGTACAACTTCTCCATGCATTTTGTCAACAATCTCTTGGTTGAAATCGCACAAGGGGTCGAAAGCAATTCTAGAAAACTGGGTTTGGTCTGCAGAACCGCTGTGACTGACCATTTCACAGTGCTTGTCCATAACAAATTTGAGGGAGTTGTTGGAAGTAGGCTTTTTTTTTTGAAAATAAAAAGGGTGTTAAAATCGAGGAAGAAAGATAACTGAGAAACTTTTATTAAGACACTGGGGTATATATACCAAAAAAAATATTTTAATAACTTAAACGTTTCTACCAAGGTATAGTCTTGTTCTGTTGTCTTAATATATTTGAATAAAGAACGTGTTGAAGAATAATGAATGTTTACATATTAAGCTTCTTCACACTTTTAAGAACATTTATTTTATTAGCCGATTTACAGTGCTACCAGAGCCTTTATGGTGTCCTGTCCTCTGTCTCAAAGGAAGGGGTGGGATTTCTCCTCATGGGTTTGCCCAACCAAAAAAAAAAATAAAAAAAAAATAAAAAAAAGAAAGTTTTTTTTTGTATAGAGCCAAGGAAAAGCTCAAAATTCAGTTATTGAGATTTTCAGTTTTTCAGAAATTTCTGTGGTTTGATACCATTTTATTTTCAGTTATTAAGATTTTCAGTTTTTCAGTTATTGAGACTTTCATTTTTTCAGTTATTGAGACTTTCAGTTTTTCAGTTTTTCAGTTTTTCAGAAATTTCTTGCAGTAAGATATCATTTTATTTTCAGTTATTGAGACTTTCAGTTTTTCAGAAATTATTTGCGAAAAAATGGTTATGTATATTATAAAAATTTATGAATAAAAATGCTAGTTATACTATTTGAAGAATTATTTTTAAAATTGCTATTAAATTTTTCTTTTTTTTATTTTTCTTTTTTTTTCTTTTTTTTTTCTCTTTTTTATTTTTATTTTTTATTTTTTCATCTCTTTTTTTTTCATGAGCTTGTGCTATTTTTTGTTACTGTTTTTGTGTGCGTAATATTTGGTTTTTTTTGGTATTTTGTATCATGAGGGTTTCCAAAATTGAGATTGGGTAGTATTGTGGGCAAAGCATAATTCTTGGACCACTTTCAATTGTTTAACAGATTGTTGGACATTTACTTGTTTCGAGTGCAGATTACAAAGAGTTGTTGAGTTTGATATTAAGAAGATCAGGATTCTGACATTGTAAAATGGTTGAAGCAGGTGTTAAATAAATATAGCATTTTTTGATTCTTTTTTGTAATGGTATTAGATGCTTGTGTAGAACCAGGTTCATAAGAAATACAATTGCTGTGGTAGTTAATCAGATTACTGGATATTTGAGATAAAAATTGGCAAGTTTTTGTGTGGTCGGTAGAGTGAATTCTACTGTTGGATTTCGAAAAAGTATGGTCAGTGAAATGCACTTAAAAGCATTATGAATATGTGTAGACTGGTTCCTATCGTACAGGTAGATGTTTGATCTTGTAGTTTCTTTGTAGGTGGAGGGTTGAATCGTCACGTTTTCTTTTCAGATTTATAGCTTTTGTTCAAAATACTATAGATTATTTAGAGATTAATATCAATGACTCCGAGGTATAGGCTTTATTTACATACAGAAACATAATGTGATCTGGAAATAATAAAAAAATCCATGAGGTGTAGAGCTTTAAGCAGTGTTTTCATTGTCAGAGTAATATTTAGTTGTTGAAGTGAGCATGAGAATGAGATTTATTGCTGATTTAAGAAGAGAAATAATGAGTTTTGGTATATAAACACCAAATGGAAAGAGAGAGAATTATGATATCTCTTTTAAAAAAGAATGTTTATAATAAATTTATGGCTGCGGGTAATATATTGTCCTATTTATTTTTTATCTCCTTGAGTTCAATTTGTACTACTTTATTTAGTGGACCTTGGAATATTATTTTTTGATATAAAAAGCTGAAAATATAATGACTAATACTATTTAACAACAACTCAATCTTCTTTACATCTATTCTTGCTGCTTCAACTTGTGTTCTGATTTTTATCTTGCATCTTAAGTAATTACTATTTAATTATAACTGCTATGTGCTAGATATAACTAAATTTATATAAAATATGTCACTTTAACATATCTTCCTATTTCTTTATTTTTTCACCTTTTATTATCAGAAAACCCTATAATGTTACACGAAAAACTTGAAGAATATAACAGTGCCTTTGAAAAAATCATGGAAGAGCTTGAAGAGCCTGAAATGCCAGAAGATCCAAAAAGTTCTGCCCCGTCAACAACAGACGAAACCCCCAAAAAAAGTAGAGGGCAATATCAAAAGTCTATGGATAAAGATATAAAAAAGCTTCTTTATCTCTACTTCATAAGGGGATTAACTATCGAAAAAGCCAGCAAGATAGTAAATATGAAACAAACAACTGCTGGTGGCTATATTTTGAAGTGGAGAAAGTTTCCAGTTGTTTTTTTTATTGAAAACAACAAGGAGGCTACAAGTAACAAAAAATGAATCTTTTATTCGAAACTTACTCTGCAATAAAGAAAGAATACAAATAATATCATTGCATTTTTAATTTTAACATAATTATTATAATGAGATACTTGCTTTATTATCTTATAACTGCAGTAAGGTATTTAACTTTAACAAAGTAATCTGGAGAAAAGTTTGCATATTATGTTAGTTCTCTCTATAGATATTTTCTATGATGTATCTTTGTAGAAAGGTCTACATATATGAAGTGCCATTACATTAGGCGTTTGGCACTTATATAAAAAATATGGCAGTTATATAAAAAAAATACGACGTTTACAAAAAAAAATACTACGGTTATATAAAAAAAATACTACGGTTATATAAAAAAAATTCGACGTTTACAAAAAAAAATACGACGTTTACAAAAAAAAAAGTACTACATTTACAAAAAAAATACTACGGTTATATAAAAAAAATTGTAAGGCGTAAGGATAAAAAATTTGAGTGCCATGTACCCTTCCGCCAATAGTAAAAGAGGGGGAGCAAATTCAGTTGGCAATGGATGCAAATTCAATTTCTATGGAAGCCAATCAGATGTCAATGGGTTCTAATTAGATGGAAACGGATGCTAATTAGATGGAAATGGGTGCCAATTGAATGGATAAAACGAGTAGTCTTGTGACAATTGACATCTGTATCACAAGTTCAAGACCATATATGCCAGTATTATTCCAAGGCAGTTTTGATAATGTCTTCTCCAAGATTGACGACACTCGTGCAGTAGATTGGCTTGACTTTCTTCTGTACATTGCTCTCCTTTTTGTTGTCCCATTCTTACCAAACAGGGCTGTCAAAACTGCGGTGTTGTCACTTGTCAAAGGTTGTGCACTGGCATTGCAATGGACACTGACTTTGGAGTTGCTGGATAAGATGGATGTGTAAGTCATAATGCCTCTAACACTATATCACTATATACAAAACTAATCATGACCTTTTTTAAAAATAATAATAACAACAACAATAGACATTTTAAACACTGGCACCACTATCTATTGCAACAAGTCCAGAACAAGACTATATCTCTTAGTGTCTTCAGACCAGTACAGCACTATCTTGTGCATATACTATTCATTGTCAAGCAACTAAGTCTACTTCGATACTACTCTACTTGGTCAATGGAGAGAGTAATTGGTGTCTTTTTCAAGCTAATCAAGTCAAAGTGTAAGGGCAGCCGTAATGCTAGTTTTCTTGTGGAGCGATTTGCATTGCATAACTATATCAACACTGCCATCCGTATCCAGAACGAAATTGATCTTATTCAGCTCAAACCATATGGTAGAGAAAGTTATATGGATCTTCCTAATGATCCTAGTGGTGCGCAGCTGTAGGAGTCATTTTATTGATTTGCTCATTTGAATAATGATTTGATAGAAGGTGTAAGCAGCCCTAGTGTGAAGGATGCCTTAACTAGATACTATCAACAAACTTTGGGTTTGATGATTTCTGATATTGATGATTCTACAATTGTTGTTGCTGGTCGTTTATGGATGAATTTGACTATACATTCATCTTGCATGTATTGACAAAGAAGAAATGAAAGAAGTCATGGTAATCATTACGTGATGTTTACCTGTTTTTACAGAAAATAAGTATATCATTTTTCAATATAAAATCAAAAGTTGCTTATATTATATTTATTTATTTACTTTAGCGACTGTAACATAATTATTTACAGCTGGCTTGTTGGTGCAGTGGTATTCTTCTTCCAGCATTAGAATTCACTTGGCTCTTTTTGTTTCTTTGCTTTTGTTGAAGTAATGAAGGAATATAACGTGGCTGCTCACGACTCATCCATACCAATTGTCAAACAGCAGTCACAAAACAGCTCAACAGGTTGCTAAACACAACCCACATATGCAGTAATAAGTGTCAATGATATTTGTCATCTAGTTGGCCTTATACAATACCCACCAAATGGAAATCAGTTCTATGTAATTGCATCTTATTATGTTTTCAACAATAATATACGCATTACAAAGGGCAACCTTTCTATTTTATAACTTTTTTTATTTTTTATTTTTTATTTTTTATTTTTTATATGCTCTATATACTCTATATTTTTTATGCTTTCTATATGTCCCATGTATTCTATATTATTATTTTTCTTTTCTATATACCTTATGTTTTTTTTTCATTCTCTACATGTTCTACAGGCCATTACGCAATTTAAATTAAAATAAAATTGTTAAGTAAACAAGAAGAGAGGTGTATCTTTTTTTTAAAAAAATAATAGCAGTCATGTTTCCATTTCGTTCACACATTCCATAAAAAATTAATCCAAATAAAACTTGACATCTTTAATATTTAATAAAATATACATTTCAACTTAAAGTGATCATTACAACTTACAAACACTTTCTAGACTATTCCAGACATCATATAGCAACAAAAAAAACAGATTTTATGCTACTTTTTTAAAATGTTGCTAATGACATTGCCATCTTATCAAAAACTGTGGAGAAATTATTGGTTTTTGATCAGAAAAATGGCAGTTATGTGCCTATTTCAGGCACAGTTGCCCCTCCTATAGCCATAGTGCAAGTATATTGAAATTGATCAATAGTACTCTTTTTCTCTTAATTTTCTCTTATTGATGTTATTATCTTTAATTCTACATTCTCTTTTGAGTTTGTCTTTTTCTCTCTTGTGGAAAAAAGAGGTTATTTCACATCTACAAACCGATTCAAACCTCAAAAATTGTGATAAAATATCATCTGTCAACGTTTATCACAAATACAAGCACTACACAAGTCGCTTGTTGACACGTGATGTGGTAGTTTTGTTGGTCTCAGTCCAAAAGCCATATTCTATCAAGTTCAGACATTCTTTTGAAAACGCTTTTTAATTTTTCTTCAAAATTTTAATTTTAATTTTAATTTCTTTCTTCTATTTTCAAAAAATTATCTTTTTCTAAAAACTGATTTTCTGAAAATTAAAATCTTTTCCCCTTTATTTTTTGTGAAATTGTTTTCTTCCTTTTCTTTTTATTTTATTCCTGCACACTAAATGTGAGGCTTCCTCTCAAACACTACTTTACCAAAATTGTTAACTGAATAGTTTTTCCCTTTATTTATAGCATACTTCTTTCCGATATTTTTCTTTTCTTGTAGTTATGTAATACAACTTCATCTATTTCTTTTTTCATGACGAAATATTTATATAGTTATTTTTTTTATATTTTTATTTACAATTATCTCATTGAGTTTTATCTAGCCTATTTTTGTCATATATTTTATCCATAAAGTAGTATAGATATCTCTCTAAAATTGATCAATAAACAACTGTCAAATTTTTTTGATACAAGTTTTCTTCAAGATGCTGTCTATTATCTCTGATCTCTCTTGTGAATTTTCTTTCTATTTTATTTATTTTTCTGTTAAGTCTTTGTGCAAGATTGATCACCCTCTTTTATTTTATTATTTTTTCCAATTTCCCCTTTATTTATCCCTTAGTAAATTTACCATAGTAAATTTTCTTTTAGCTAAATCCTTTACTCTAGTAAATACTTCCTTCCCATAGTTAACTCTTTAGAATTTGTATTATTTATATTTCTTCTTTGAGTTTAACTATTTCTCTAATCATTCAAATTATTTACACTCTTACCTTAGTGTTAGTTTCCCTTTTAATTTCTTTAACTAGTCTATTTGGTAACAAAGAGACTATTTTATCACTCCAATTTATCTAATATCGAATCCAAATCCTCAATTCTTCTTTTCAATTCCTCTTCTTATATACATTTATCTTTTCTTGTACATCTTCTACACACATCCAAATACCACACGCGATAATGTGTGATGTGTGTTGTAAGCATGTCTGGCTTTAGTCAATTTTTGATGAAAGGCACCAGATGGTAGGTCACTTTGGTGGTTTGGTCCAGCGGTTAGCCATGGCAGATGGTACCAGACTTGTGGGTGTTGACGTCAATGGTGAGTCAACTAAATGATGTGTCTTAAGGGACAGGAGTGGTCCCCCCAGATTTCTTGAGAAATCTTGTTTCTGATACCCCTTATATCTAAACCCCTAATTATATTCTGTCCCTTAGATAATTAGAATACTCATCTATATTGTCACCTCAGAAACGTCTGTTACCCACTAGAAGTTATATTTCTTTCCCCTAATTTCATATACTTCTTTGTTGCCAATATTTATTTACAATATTTTTATTATTACATTTTTATTAGACTTCATTATTATACTATTACTATATTTTTTCACTGTACTTCACTACATTATTATTATATTATTACTTTACTTCTATTCTATCTCACTATAATTTTATTTTATCTTTATTCAATTATTATATTTTTACTATACTTTTATTCATCCTCTTTATATTTTTATTATATTTATCTATTCCACTTCTACTATCAACACTAGTTACATGTAGTGAAAAGTTTTCTCTTGACTTCCTTTTCTTTATCTCATAAAAATTATTTTTACTAAGCATTTTTGTTTATAAAAGAAGCAATCTTTTCAATCAATTAAAAAATTATTCTGTCCTTAATCTTATTTTTTCTTGTCTGTTATTATAATTATTCTTCATTTACACACAGTGTTCTTGTTCTTTGGAGTGTTGTCTCACTATGGCTATAGGAGGGGCAACTGTGCCTGAAATAGGCACATAACTGCCATTTTTCTGATCAAAAACCAATAATTTCTCCACAGTTTTTGATAAGATGGCAATGTCATTAGCAACATTTTAAAAAAGTAGCATGAAATCTGTTTTTTTTGTTGCTATATGATGTCTGGAATAGTCTAGAAAGTGTTTGTAAGTTGTAATGATCACTTTAAGTTGAAATGTATATTTTATTAAATATTAAAGATGTCAAGTTTTATTTGGATTAATTTTTTATGGAATGTGTGAACGAAATGGAAACATGACTGCTATTATTTTTTTAAAAAAAAGATACACCTCTCTTCTTGTTTACTTAACAATTTTATTTTAATTTAAATTGCGTAATGGCCTGTAGAACATGTAGAGAATGAAAAAAAAACATAAGGTATATAGAAAAGAAAAATAATAATATAGAATACATGGGACATATAGAAAGCATAAAAAATATAGAGTATATAGAGCATATAAAAAATAAAAAATAAAAAATAAAAAATAAAAAAAGTTATAAAATAGAAAGGTTGCCCTTTGTAATGCGTATATTATTGTTGAAAACATAATAAGATGCAATTACATAGAGCTGATTTCCATTTGGTGGGTATTGTATAAGGCCAACTAGATGACAAATATCATTGACACTTATTACTGCATATGTGGGTTGTGTTTAGCAACCTGTTGAGCTGTTTTGTGACTGCTGTTTGACAATTGGTATGGATGAGTCGTGAGCAGCCACGTTATATTCCTTCATTACTTCAACAAAAGCAAAGAAACAAAAAGAGCCAAGTGAATTCTAATGCTGGAAGAAGAATACCACTGCACCAACAAGCCAGCTGTAAATAATTATGTTACAGTTGCTAAAGTAAATAAATAAATATAATATAAGCAACTTTTGATTTTATATTGAAAAATGATATACTTATTTTCTGTAAAAACAGGTAAACATCACGTAATGATTACCATGACTTCTTTCATTTCTTCTTTGTCAATACATGCAAGATGAATGTATAGTCAAATTCATCCATAAACGACCAGCAACAACAATTGTAGAATCATCAATATCAGAAATCATCAAACCCAAAGTTTGTTGATAGTATCTAGTTAAGGCATCCTTCACACTAGGGCTGCTTACACCTTCTATCAAATCATTATTCAAATGAGCAAATCAATAAAATGACTCCTACAGCTGCGCACCACTAGGATCATTAGGAAGATCCATATAACTTTCTCTACCATATGGTTTGAGCTGAATAAGATCAATTTCGTTCTGGATACGGATGGCAGTGTTGATATAGTTATGCAATGCAAATCGCTCCACAAGAAAACTAGCATTACGGCTGCCCTTACACTTTGACTTGATTAGCTTGAAAAAGACACCAATTACTCTCTCCATTGACCAAGTAGAGTAGTATCGAAGTAGACTTAGTTGCTTGACAATGAATAGTATATGCACAAGATAGTGCTGTACTGGTCTGAAGACACTAAGAGATATAGTCTTGTTCTGGACTTGTTGCAATAGATAGTGGTGCCAGTGTTTAAAATGTCTATTGTTGTTGTTATTATTATTTTTAAAAAAGGTCATGATTAGTTTTGTATATAGTGATATAGTGTTAGAGGCATTATGACTTACACATCCATCTTATCCAGCAACTCCAAAGTCAGTGTCCATTGCAATGCCAGTGCACAACCTTTGACAAGTGACAACACCGCAGTTTTGACAGCCCTGTTTGGTAAGAATGGGACAACAAAAAGGAGAGCAATGTACAGAAGAAAGTCAAGCCAATCTACTGCACGAGTGTCGTCAATCTTGGAGAAGACATTATCAAAACTGCCTTGGAATAATACTGGCATATATGGTCTTGAACTTGTGATACAGATGTCAATTGTCACAAGACTAGTTCTTGGTACAAAAAATGGGTATTCTGTGCTAGTGAGGGTATCATCCAGATGGGTATAAGAAAATTTTGTCTCCTTAGTAAGGGACACAGTGATCAAGTCGTAAATGTGCTTTCTGATTCCTCTTGCAACTAAATGAAGTTCATCTAGTGCGAAGAAGAAAGATCTGAAGAAGGCTGACAGCTCACTAAAAATGTTTGGTTAGTATATATTTTTTATATATTATATGCAATTATTTAGTACAAGAAAAAATCTAATTAAACTGTTATATTCTTACAGGATTGCCGGTTTTGAATTCTTCCAAAGGTTGCAAAGGAGTGGAACTATCTTCAAAGTACATTCTGTGCTGTATGTTGTCTGAGACTTTTCCCTTTGTTTCACAGATTTGGCAACCAAACAAACTGGCATGTGAGCTAATGTGCGCCATGTCAGCCACAGCTGGGATGTCACCAGAAGCAAGCAACAAGTGGATTTTGGCATGGCAAACCTCAACTCCATTGCTCTTGATTACCAAGCTATGCACCTCAAGATCTTATATTTCACTGATGATTGGCATCAGGAAAGAGTCCAAGTGGATAGATTTCTTGGGACCAGGCAAGATTCCCAGCTGCAAGAGATATTCATTTGTGTATCTAAGCTTTTTATTAGTATTTTTTTTTGAAATTAATATATTAATTGATTTATTATCTTATTGATGTGTCAAGATTGAATACAACAGCATGAACGATGGTGTACAAACTCTTGCCCTTTTTTTGGTTAACAAAACCATTGGTATATAGCACAATGGCAACAGCATTGGGATTTGAGAACAAGCCTTTCTGCACCAGCTGCTTGTAATTTTCACCATCGAAAATATTGGTGAGCTGACCAGCTACAGATTCCCGGTTAGCTCTGTAATAAAGGAGTTCTCTTGTGGCTGGATCAGCCAGCATTTGAGAAAACATATCACCAACTGACATGAGCTTCATACTGGCAGCTGGTGTTTGACTTTGCTCAGTATCAGTCTTGTATCGCGGTTTGCCACAGTAAACACAAGATTCCTGATTGTCATTAATTTCATACAATTGGCAATCATTAGGACAGACATCATACTCATGGCCTTTGACACTTGTCTTGGACTTGAGCAAAGCATTGACAGTTTCTCCGTGGCTGATCTTAGCCCCAGGTTCTAAAAAAAAACGAACAACATCACTACATGTTAGAAATCTGAAATTAAAGTGTAATGTAACATAAATATTCTATTTTACCCAACATAATTTCATCATGATCTTGAAGGATTATATTAACAAATTGGACAATATCTCTGTAAGGTGCCCTGGAAATTCTGTGCTGAAGCACCAATTGAGAGAGATGAATACTCATCAACTAGGTCTTTGTAAAGCTATTGCTACTAATTCTGCTGGTATCATAAATGTGAGCTTCACCCTCACTGTCCTTGAAACTACAATCGCACTTGTAAGAAATTGCCTTGTTGATCTCTATTGCGTTCACAGCATAATCTATAATGCATTATTAAATGAGTATTCCAATCACTTATTAATTATTTTACACTGATTATTATTACCTGAATTGCTAACTAATTCATTATCGTCAATAATGTCATTTCTAATATTATTTTGCATTTCAACATCCTCTGCAATATATTGTGAAATGATATTTGCTGATGCTAAGTTGCTTTCATGACCTCTCTTATTGTTCTGAAGCTGATGATAAGTGTTGAATGACAAGACACATTGATTGCATTTGTGTATTTGTGTAGATAATATATCTCTCTGCTGATTGATGTTGAAGGAAGACATATTAGTTTCTTTGGTAAGTATTTAGTATATAAAATGAAACTGTAAAGAAGATTCTGGTCATATCTGCACAACATAAAAGAGAGCTTTATATACTTTTTATCTCAGGACAATTTGTGTATTTTTTTTATTTTATTTCTCGCAATAATATCACAACAATAAAAATGATGATGATATTAGCTAAACACATCTTGATCAACAATGATGACAAGTATTATATAAGTATAACTATCATAACATTTACTTTACAAGATCAATGATGAATGCTTAATTAACTATATTGTATTTAAACATCATGTTACTATTACAAAGTCCATCTATGCTAATGTCATTATTTTAATTGGTAAAATATTCTGGCGCCAAAAATTAAAAAAAAATGTTGTAGCAACCACATATTTATAGTTAAGTTGATATATCTTTTTTCAGAAAGTTAAACAAGTAAACATTATAAAATATATATAATGGGAAGTACAACTTTTATTCACTTTATCTTTCTTAAAAAATAATAATTAAAAAATGTCTGATATTAATACCACACTCATAAACTCTGTAAGAAAAATTGAAATTGATATTGCTGAAATAAAGCAAATAGTATGCATGCTTCAAGATCAGTTTAGTAAACAATTTGCTCCAGCTGTCAGTGTGAAAGATCTTAGTATAATTCAACAAAGCATCATTGAGCAAAGTGGTAAGATACATTTATTATATATCTGTATATTTACTTGCCTTATTAATATGATGGTATGCAACTTTCTTTTTGGTAGCTCTTGAACATGTTGCCGAGTCTGTGAAAAGATCTCAATTCACTGAGTATTCTGACCAGCTTGGCAAGTGAGTAATTGGTGCAGATGGCAATTTCAAAGGGAAAAACAAAGCCCAGAAATATAATTTGTTGTTGCAGTTGCTTCATGAGCAGGAGTTGAAAGATTGTTATAAAGAAAGCTCAGAAGGGCAACTTTTGTCTCAACTAGTACTTCTTTTGGACAGCGATTTGACAATGAAGCAACTACAGCTTAAGACTTTGAGTTGTAGCATCAAGCATGACCTGATTGACAAGGACTTTTCTGCTTTCAGTAAAGAATAGAAAGATATCCTGGCAAAGCACCAGGAGTACTATATGATGCAATTGAAGAGACTGGCGAAAGATAACGGCTTTGCTATTTACAAATGCAAGAGCATGTGGTGTGTAAAAAGTCTTTTCTGGAGAAGCTTCAAAAGTGACAACCAGAAGCAAAAAAGAAGAATGGTAGAGAAAAACAATGTAAGTTTATTAATCAAAAGGTTTCATTCATATATTTTAATTAACATTTAAAAAAATCTGTAGACATAGCAAGATGCAAATGATTCTTCATTGTATTCTGATAATATATCAGAAATGGATGGTGGCAAGTCACCTATTATAGTGGATGTGCTGTAAGTTATCATGGTTTCTGCTGGTTTGGTGCTGTCAATACAAAATTAATATAAACTTTTTACTTTCTTATAAAGGTCTCCTCTGACAGAAATGAGTGTTGAGCTAGCACATAAGAGAAGCCAAAGATTGTAGGAGATTTTGATTGGTTCCAAATATTTTTTAGCATATTTTTAGTTCGGTTTTTATATTTGTCTTTTATTTTCTTCTTTTCTCTTTCTTTCTCTTTAAATAAAAATGCATTGCCCTTTTTTATGTGATTGGTATCTATAGAGTCATCAGCATTGAAAACTAATGTACAATATCTGCCATATTGCTACAATTAATTTTTGAATAAAGCACAATAGATTTTTTTTTCAAAGAACAAAAAAAAACTGATAATACTCTTGTGCTGCTATGTTATACTTGATAGGTATTATATTCTATGTAAGTATCTTGATATAATATATATCTCGTGTTAACAAAACAATGTTCATTCAGTTTTCAACTAGATTTAACTTGACTTTATATTGTATGACTCAAATTTTTTTTTCAGGTTTTATTTAGTAATAATTTTGAGTGATAGTCACTGCTTTTTTCACTTGTCTTGTAGATATACTAACACTTTTAATAACATATGAAGCTTACATATTAATATTATTTTCTAATAAATATATTTTTAGAGCAAAAAAAATCTTTGAAGTTATTAAGCATATGACATAAAGGTAAGTACTATATTATTATGTCTATTTATTTATTTTCTCTCTAACATTGATATATTTATAGAAACTGGTAAGAATTAAAGAAGGTCGTCTAGTCTATATTGAAGTACTCGAAACACATGAAATGCTTTTGGGATAAATGAGTTTTACTGCATATTCTGCAGTAGCCAAATAATATCATATATTTTTTACAAGTTACAATAGATGGGTTTTAAGTAGTATTACTATCATATAATAAAATATAAATTGAAGCAAAATTGTATTCAATTCAATTCATTCCAATTCATTTTAATTCAACTCAATAAATAGTTCATTTAATATGCCAAATAAAAAGCGAAATGATATATTAGTATTAGATACAATAGTGCAAAAAAAGGGGGCATGAAAGAAAACCAAAAATAAAAAAAAACCAAAAAAAGGAATGAACCTTGGTCTTTTAAAAAAAGTGGCAACTGTGCCTCTAATCGCGCTATACAGACTCATATCTGTCATTTTTTATTATGTAAAAAATGGCAGTTATGCTACCAAAGTGGTAACATGTTGTCACTTTTTTAGGCATAGTGTTGACTCAATATACTCAGATAATCAAACAAGTGAAATATCAATAGCATTAAATATTAAGAGAACTTGTCAGAAAATAAAACAAAGAAAAATCAATGTTTATTGAATGCACATATTGTGACATTTATAGTTTTGCAATTGACTTGTTGAATAATTAAATAAATAAAATTATTGAAAAATATAACAAAAAGTTATATAATTGACAATCTATTAAATGTGATTTGCTTTTTACTATCATTCAGTACAAATAGAATAAAATAATTATACTTGTAAGAATATATAACAAAAATAATATTAATTCCAAGTTGATTCGTTCAGTTAAATATAGTGAGAAAATAAGATACAATGTGTGATTACCTGAAGTTATTGTTGACAGGATAATGCTTTTTTGATGTACTTATTGATATTTTGCTCCACAAATAAAAAAATTGCTTTCTATTCAGTCTCAGCCACCATCGGAAAATCAAAAAAAATAATAGAATATAATTTTTCTAGAATTACAAAGAATTCTGCAATGTTACTGCACTGCTGGACAACTGAACTTCTGTTTTGTGCTAACAGATTGGTAACACTACGTATCTCCAGTGACACGTGATGTGTTAGGTTTGTTGTAGATTGTAACGGATCACTTGGCAAATAAAATACAATGTTAATATAATAGAACAGAAGACAGATACAGCAAAAGGCGGCAAACAGCAATAGTTGACAGATAAGAAAAGAGAGAATAACCGATAGAATCGTTGTTAAAATTGAGAGAGAAAGAAAGGTATATGAAAAGAGAATGACGAAACAGAAAAGTAATAACCAACAAGGAGACCAAAACCGACAAACAACCTTCCTAAAACCAAGGAACTGATATGTTATATTGCAAGATGGTATAGACCACAAAGAGAAGAAAACAAGAAAAAGATACTGAAACTGAATGAATTATTTATTGAGTTGAGTTTGCTTCTCTTTTTATAGTCAACAAGATTTTAAGTTGATAATAGAAGTTCGGAAAAAGAAAGATAGTAAAAATAGAATGATAAATAATTGATACAGCAAGGATAAAATATATGAATAAAAGTATGGTAAAAATATAATAATAAAGGTACTGATGCTGAGCGGAGATGTTGGCAAGATAAATTATGTGCATTGTAGAAGAGGAATGTTACTAGCATGGGGAACCATGATTTCGAATGAGTAAAATGTAGACAAATATATTAACAAGGGAAAAGGAAAAAGTATTGTGTGTAGAAGGAACAGGGAACGGAAACGAGATTTTTCCTGTGCATGGAAAAATTCTTCTCTTACTACCGAGGGCACAGCACCACATCAACAAACCGTTGACATCAGCCTCTCATAATCGGGATGACATGTCACAACAAACTGCCAGACAAACCCACTGAGCAGACTGATCTTCCAGTACCAGACATCACAACATGGTTAAAAGCCACACCTGTCTATAACACACGTGACACAAGTGACGCGTGTTGAGTTATGGTGTGTGGTGCAACTGGTCAGAAATATAATATATATTATATGTATAGTTATATTCTTGTGATTTCGCTTAGGACAATCCAACAAAAAGGAATTTAGACAATGAACAGGACTTTAAATGGATAGAAACAGATATACAGACAACAGACAGATAGACAAACAGACAAATGCACAAGCGGACAAATGGACAAATGAATAAGTAGACAATCGACAACAGACAGGCAGACAAACAGACAAATAGACAAATAGACAAATGGACAAGCAGACAAATGGCAAGACAGTACTTGCAGATTCTAACAGTGTGCAACTTAGTATATCCCGCGGAACAATAGCTGAAGCTCAGTGATAATGTTCAAAAGAAATATAGAGAAAAACTGAATGAATTTTATTGAGATAAAAACGTATCTCTTATATACTAATTGACAACTGCATTCAAGGTGACAATCTAGATACATCTTATGCTAAATGATGATTATTTGGAAGAGTGTACAGGTCTTCGGGCATAATCACAAAAGGAATTAATCAAAAATAATAATAAAAAGAAAAAAAGGAGAAAAGCATTCAAAGTCCAGCTGGAATTTAAATGTTGATAGCAAGAAAAAAGGAAAAAGAGAGAGAGAGAAAATAAATCCAAGAAATCGGATTTTGTCATGTCCAGAGATGGAGTCATGACTTTGCACTGTCCATAACTTAATAGTCTGCCCATAAGTTGACGTCACATCAAACAAATATACATTTTTAGTTAATGCTAAAAACTTTTACAACACTTCTGTCACAAGTGATACGTGATGTGTTTGTTTATTGTAGATTGTAACAGTATCACTTGGCAAATAAATGTAATGTGAATTGTGAAATACAAGAAGAATACAATAAGAATGGAAAAGAATGGGTAATTTGACAGGTAAGAATTGGTGACAGACAGGTAGAAAAAATAGAGAGAAGATTAAAATGGAAATTGTGACAATGACAAAGTCTGAGAAAAACAGAAAAGGGAAAACAGAGAAATGAAATATATCAAGATTGACAGTCAAAACTCCAAAGAATAAGGACACTGTGTATGAATGAAGAATAATGATAATAACAGACAAAAATAAATAAGATCAAGGATAAAATGATGATTTTATTGATTGAAAAGATTGTTCCTTTTATAAACAAAAATATTTGGTTAAAATAATTTTTTGAGGAAAAGAAAAGAAAGTCAAGTGAAAATTTTTATTACATGCAACTAGTGTTGATAGTAGAAGTAGAATAGAAAAATATAAAGAGAGTAAAATAAAAGTATAGTAAAAATATAATAATTGAATAAAGATAAAGTAAAAATATAGTGAGGTAGAATAGAAGTAAAGTAATAATATAATAACGATATAGTAAAGTAAAGTAAAAAAATATAATAATAGTATAATAATGGAATCTAATAAAATGTAATAAAAAATAGTGTAAAATAAATGTCAGCAATAAAGAAGTGTATAAAATTAGGGGAAAGAGGTATAATGTTTTTAGTGGGTGACAGGTGTTTCTGAGGTGACAATGTAGATGGGTATTTTAATTTTAAGGAACAGGATTATATTGGGGGGTTTGGGTATAGGGGTATTGGGAGCAAGATTTTCCAAGAAACCTGGGGGGACCACTCTTGTCCCTCGAGACAGGTCACTCGGTCAACTCACTGTCAACGTCAACACCCATGAGTCTGGTACCACCCGTCATGGCTCACCACTGGACCAAACCACCAAAGGAATCCACCGTCCAGTATCCCTCACCAGAAACTGGCCAAAGCCAGAGTTGCCTACAACACACATACATAAGTGTATTGGTTTCTTGGTGTAGGTAAAAGATTTTTATTGAAAGGCTAGTGGGCACACGCACTATAGAGCTATTGCCCGCTTTTAAGAGTACAAAAAAGAATAATAGAAAGGAAAAAAACCCAAGGGGGAAAATGGGAAAAACTAGAAAGGGAAACTAAGCTAGGGGATACAAAAAAGGGAGATAAGGATAAAATATGAAGCATGCATGAAATTCATGCAATAAATGGAAACTAAGACTAATACAGATCTAAACTAAAAATAAAAGGAGATGGCCAGTCTCATTTGGGTAGCCAGTTCAAGAAGAGTTGTCCTCTGTCTGTTGTAGCATGATCAGCAAGATCAACCCCAGAGAGACAGATCTGTTCTATATCCAACATTATTCTACAAAGAATTGGCCAAGTAAAGATCCAGAAGGCATTGTTCTTGTTGTTTTTAGGTTTCTTCAGAGGCAGCATATTGAGTACATAATCAATTGGATTGGGTTGTACTGTAGAATAGAGATGGAGACGAATTGCAGCTCCAGTGCACTCAATGACATGATGACGGCTGGTGGTATGCAATCCACAGGAACAAGGTTGAGGACGTCCAGGAAGCCATCCCATACGCCAACGTATGAATCTACTACGTTCATAGTTAGTCATGGGAAGCCAGAGAATAGGGTCAACACCAAGAGAAGGACGGCAAGCAGAGAGAAGTATTTGTTGAGAGCGTTGCAAGAAGAGGCCCTGGTTCAAAAATGAACGATTGGCATGCTTGCAAGCTTTAGAATCAGCATTCTGACGATTGGAGAGAGATAACCAAATGGGATTAGCTAAAAGCTTAAACCATTGGTGTGCTGGGTTTGTAAGAACAGGTCGAAGAAGAGTAAACAGAGCCTCATCAGGCAACCAGAAAGCACGATATACAAACTTGAAACCAAGAGTCAAGATCCTCTCCCTCATGCTAGGAAGATTCCCAAGGTGACGGAAAATAGATGTAGAAGATGTGGAGTGACCTCCAAAAATCATGCGTAAGCATGTGTTCTGGGCCTTTTCAAGCACAGCAACTTGTTTAATGTTGAAGCAGGATATTGCCAGGCCATACTCAAATTGTGGACGAATAAACTAGCAATACAAATGAATTGAGAGTAGACGTGACAACCCAGTGTGATTGACACCAAGTGATTGAAGAGCACGCATGCTGTTGATAGCAGAGACACAATTACGAGAGATGAGAAGAGATGGATCAATAGTCCCCTTTGCTGAGAAGGGAACACCAAGGTAAGGAAACGAATGAGCATGAGGAATAGGCACATTGTAGAGAGAGAATGACAAAGGAGAAAGAGAACAAGAATGATGAAGGATCATGCACTTGGTGGGACTCCAACGATATCCTAGCTCTTGAGAATGTTGTTCAGCAGAATTCAGAATGACAGGCATAGCTTCTGGTGTAGCAATGATGGCAACATCGTCAGCAAAAAGTAGTGAATTGACTAATTGATCATTGAGTCTTGTGGCAGCAGTCTGATTAAATACTGTGTTACAAAGTTCCCCTGCAGCACGAAGAGCAACTGGTAGAGAATTTATGTACACGGAATAAAGGTGGGGAGAAAGCACAGATCCTTGCATAACGCCAGTCAATGGTTGGAATGATCTGGATGTTGCACCAGAAAGCAACACCTCAACTTGAACATTGTCAAAAAGACTTTGTAACAAAGCTAACATAGCATCAGAGGCAAGAGGACGTAACGATGTCCATACTACAGAACGATCAACAGTGTCATATGCAGACTTGATATCAAGAAAAGCCAAGACTGGTGGTGCTTTGAATAGAGCTGTGTGACGACGGACCATCTCATGGAGACAAAGAACTTGATCAAGGGAGCTATGTTGACGTTGGAATCCACCCTGTGCAATGTCAATTGTTGGAGACACATCTTCAAGAGGAAACTGTAGACAATATTCCATGGCTTTTCTCAGGATAGACGTTAAGCTAATGGGACGATAGTTAGCAGGGTCATGAGTATCACCCTTTTTAAAGATGGGGACAATTTGTGCAGTACGCCATGCAAGAGGTGCAGAACCCCATTGCCAACAAAGCTGGAACAAAAGACAAAGAACAGGAGAGACTTGCTTAACAATTGGGTGAAGCATTTCAGCACGAAGATGGTCAACACCAGGAGCCTTGCGTGTAGGAAGCTTGAGAATTGCACTCTCTACAGAAAGATGAGTAAAAGGACACGATTCATCAATTGCAATTGGTGATGAAATCATCACTGTCTGGTCTGGAGGGCGGCGTGCAGGAAGAAATTGACCTGAGAAAATCTGGTGAAGATGATCAGCCATTTTGTTAGCATCTGCTTGAGGTCCACCTGGATCCACAAAGACAGGACTGGTTTGACGATGGCTTTTAATACGTTTCATTGTTGCTGTGGTCTTTGCAAAGTCTTGTGTTGCCAATTTGTTGCAGAATTCTTTCCATGTTTCACGTCGACGACGCTGGACTGATAACCTAACAGCATGACATGCATCCTGATGGCGCATCCAGCATATAGCCTTCTGCAAACCACTAGAATGACGCCAGCGTTGGTAGCTGCGTTCTCTCAGATCCATTGCTTCTTGAAGGTCCACTGGCCAGAACCAGTACTTTTGCATGGTACGTGGTGTACGACGACCAACAGCAGTGTCCAGAGCATCATAGATAGCTTGAGCAAAAGCAGAGCACAGAGAATCTACAGGAGGAGGAGAAGAAGAAGAAAGGAAAGCACTGAACTGCTCTGTCAGATTGTCCAATGACGCAGAAGCTGTATCAATGTAGATCTTGAGAGTGTCAGGCTGAGCAAGCTTGGAAAGATTCCAAAGTAGGCGCGGATGATTAGTAGGGGGAGGGGGAGGTGAAACATAGGGAGTGAAAGTGAGGTTGACCATTTTGTGATCAGAGCCTAAAGAAAGATCAGAACGAATTTGCATAGAAGGATTGAGAAGGGGGGACGTAGAAAGAAATAAATCAATGACACTGGAACGTGAGGTACCAGAGCCACCAGAAAGAAAGGTAGGAATACCAAATGCAAGTAATTCATTCCAACAAGTGAGACCAGTTGCCTGGATCCACTGAAGAAAAGAAGTTCCTCGCGAAGTGATAGCATGGTCACCAAGAAAGGATCCCATACGTGAATTAAAATCACCACAAAAAATAGTGTTAGAAGAAGGAATAGAAGAAGAAGAGAGGGGGAGGTCATAAAGAATAGAAATTGCATCGTCATTAGAAAGAGAAGGGGGAAGATAAATGCAATGAATAAGACAATCAAATACAATACAAGAAAGAACATAAGGAGAAGAAGAAGGAACAATAGAAATGGGGTAAGGGAAAGAAGGATTTACAAGAAGAGAAATACCCATGCAGCCACGGCTAGCATTGGGGACAGACTGACCATAGGTATGGTACTGCTGCCAAGAAGTAGGATAACGATGGGGGGACAAAAGCCACGTTTCAGTGATAAAAAGAAGGGAAGTAAGTGGAGCATATGAAAGGATTGTAGGTATGGTCTGTTTTGCAAGACCATTTGCATTCCATAATGTAATTGTTACTGGATTCATAGATCAGAGAATGAAGGGATGGTGATGCTGGCAGTATGTATAGAGATGTCCAAGTCTTTTTTGGTGGGTCGTGGGGGAACAATCTCAGCTAGTTGGTCATCACTAATCCATCCCTGAGAGCAAAAGGAACGTGCAACAGCAAACTTGACAGGAGCCCTAATGAATTCAATGGCACGTAGCATACAATCATTGTAAACATGTATAGCTTTTGTTGCCCTATCATCAAGTGAAAGAGAGGCCAGAGCTGGGTCACGGAGGTGAACAGGGTCCAGAGGATCAAAGTTATCCAAAGTAGTAACACCATAACTCGCCAAGATAGTCTTGAGCTCAGGAGCATACTCATTATGTACAAGCATTCCCATCACCTTACGATCAGGATAGTGGAGATCCAGCACACGTGCATTGTCTATCTTTAATTTCCTAAGACGTTGACGTTGAGTACTAATGGGAAGACAGATAGCATTAGGTACATAAACAATTTGAAACCCCTGATCAGCATTTTCTTTAATTGTCATGCCACGAACAACAGCAGCAATGGCCCTAGCAGTTGGAGCCCTTTTACGTGGTGTTTTAGAAACGAAAGTCTTGGTGGGTTCAGTGGAATGATGGGTCTGGGATGCAGGAAGTGATGGAAAATCAGCCTGAGAAACAACTGGAACAGAGGCAGCAATAGTAGCATATTTGGATGCTGCAGCACCAACAGAAAAATCAACATTCTCCTTTGTCAAACGTGCAATAGTGGCGTTTGCAGTAGCAAGAGCCTTACGCAACTCAATTT